AAAATGAGCGACTCGTCGACTGCAGCAGAGCTTAGACCGGGGTCCAAGCGACAATGTATCCCAAGAGGCCCAAGGACCCAACCCCAACTCCAATTTATATCCCCCAGCCCCCTTTTCGTGTTGACTGACATATCGGCGCCAAGCAGGCAATTAACATGCGATTGTCATAAATTTACTCGATGCACAGATTATTAAACATTCATAAAATAAATTACACAGCCAAAGTGCATAAATTCTGAATTGATTTTAACGCATTGTCCGAGACAAAGGAGGGTCCTCCGAAGGAATCTGGTTATTGAATTATAACGATGTCTTCGTCGTCAGAGGGTAGAAATATTGAGGAGATGGCGATGCGATGTCCAAGGGAAAAGGCATAAACATAAACATAAATTCCTTCAAAGTCTTGGAGCGAAACAACAATTGCATAGAAATCAATTTCAGAAAAGCGTTCAAGGGTTAAATTCCACAACGGGCGGGGGGAGATGGGGAGCAAATAAATTTTGTAAATGCAGCAAAGGAAGGGAAACCCCACAATTCGAGCAGAAAGGAAAACTATGGGGAGAAGATGCCCATTTTATGGCATTTGTGGCTTGTCGCAGGGGTTGAAACAACAGACTTTTCCATAGTTTCCTGCGGTTCGAACGAAGAAAAATGGAAAAGACGACCATCAACTTGAATCGAATAGTTATTGTCAATTCTACATAAAATATATCATAGGAAAGGGAGTGCTTTTGCGGGGTCTTAAAGCTTCACTCCGGATCTCTGAATCATTGAACATTATTTATGGGAACTTTTCGAAATGGTTTCTCGACCGATAACCACTAATTGAGGGAAGCTTTTAAGGGGGATTTTTAGAAATTTAACTTGAGAAATGTACGAAAAATTATATTTTTGTGGAGCTTATATAGTGATATTTATGTGCAAGAAATTAAAACTATTATTTTACTTATAAGTGTGTCATGGGGATCTTTTCTGAGTCATTATTCGTCTTCTAAATCAGATTTCAGCTCTGTGTTTCCAAGATAAATAACTTCTAGCCACAGTTTTGATAGAAAACTAACCACTTGAGCGTAAGATCAAGTGGAATGTCAGATAACCCCACATAAGTTAAGGCTGCTTCGTGCCAAAGTGATTGCATTTTCAGCTAACTGCATTACACTCTCGCCTCCACTAAAGCCGATAATTTGGGCCAGAATATCATTAGGAATTCCCTTTTTACAGGGAGCTTCCTATATCCCAGAGCTTAATTCGCCTGCAGAGAAGAGGGAAAAAAAGGGAATCCCCTTTCTCTCTGATGCGAAGTAAAATGAAATTACGAGAAACCAACTGAATGTCAATGTCCTCCCACAAGAAATCCCTCTGCTGCTCCTTATGCTCCTTCCTCCATCTTTTTGCGACAGAAACAAAGAGGAGCCGGAATGTATATACAGCAGCATGTACAAATATATATATTTTTTATGACATTGCTGACAATTTATGATGCAAATTCCTCACCCAAAAGAACTGAAGAGACTGAACGGCGATGGAACGAGCAACCTCCGACAAATTGTCGAGAAATTGCATAAAAATATATATACAAAAGACAAAAAAAATTACTATATATATAATACGTGTGTGTGTTATGGGAAGAAAAAACAAATTGTTATGCTGAAATCTGTAATCTGAAGTAGTTGCGGATGCACTCGAGAGATATTTATGGGAGCAGGAGCAGGAGCAGGACAAGGAATAATAAAAAATAAAGGACCAAAAACACACATACTACACTCCCTGGGCAAAAGGGCAAAAGCTGAATGCAAAAATTGTTTTATTTCAGCTTTTATTATTTTATTTTGTTTTTACGTTTCTGTTGATTCATCACAAAATAAATTGAAATATTCTTGTTGACAAAACTGGACAGAAAAAGGGGGAACTTTTTGCTGTTTGCTGCCATTCGATGATTTATTTAATTTACTAAAACTAACACAGCATGGAAAATATTTGATAATAAAATCACGTTCACACGCTTACGGCCACAAATCAATTGGTGTCATCAGAAAAAAAATAAAGCAGATCGAACCCCGAACCCGAAACCCGGAAAGTTCATTATAAAATTGGGTTCATCTTTTATTTGGGGATCCCCAATTCGTGGAAATATGAGGACTCATGGGGACACTAGCCTTGAGGCTATCTCTCTGAAATGTATAAAAATCAAACCAAATCCATTTGCAATTCTTTCAACTTGTGCGGTCAGTCTCTCTCTTTCTCTATCTTTTTCCGGTTAATGTGACAGGGTTTTTTATTTAAAAAGTCACACGCAAAAACAAACACACACTTTGAAGGCAAACAAACAATTGGTAGCATAATATTTATGGACATTTTAAAATAAATATCAATGCAATATTTTTGCTATTTCAACAGGACAATAATAGTACGACAACCACAACAAAATGTCGAGGGAAAAGAGAGCGTAATTAACAAAATATAAAAAATGTGACCTTGTTTTGTGTGAAAAAATAAATGATTGATTGACAAGGATAAAGGCAGGCTTATATTTTAAAGACCAAGGGGATAAAAGTGTATGTTAATTAAATGAATTGATTTAAACATTTAAGGAATAAAACTATGGATACTTATGTTCAAAGGAACCTAAAGCAACTTATTTAATTATGTTAAAAGAAGTTAGGAGTTCAGTAAAGATGATGAATTAATAAGTACATTTTTATTTAGTTTCTTAAATTACCTTCCCCTTATCTTTTTACTGATATTCCCAGATATTTTCCTATATTTTTTTGTTCCCACACAACCGCAATCGATAAAGTTACCAATTTCAAGCCATATGACTATAATATGGTTACGGCTTTTGGCTCTTAACTGATTTCCATTTCGTGCATATAAATATATACTATATAGTTTATATGAACCCAAAACGTGGCTCACAATCTGTTATGAATTTTTATTGACTTGTTTGTGCGTTAAGGGAAAAAATTAATTTATCGCCTTCGTGATTGTTCAAATAAAAGTCCCAAAATAAGAAAAAAATGAATCAAAATCGGTGATCGAAAAAATTAAAAGAATTTCGGGGCTTCGGGGTTTCTCGTCATCATCATGGACATGGACATGGAGATGGACATGGAAATGTCAGGGATCGAAGGGAGAAAGGGAGCCACCAACGTGCTGCCTGAATTTAAATGGACAAATTAATTGCGTTTGTCAGAGGCCTGCGGACAGGTTCTGGCCATTGGCAACAACGCTCAAACGCCCAAACGAACAAAGAATTAATTGGTTTTCGGACACTGGATGAAATATATTTAATTTAGGCTTAATGCCGCACAGAGATTGCATTTTAGTGTGTCAGTCCCCTCTGCTCTTCGTAGTTTTAACTCACCTTTACAGGTGTCAATTTGGCATTGAATCATGACCGGGAATATTTATGTACACATCTCCACTCTTTATCTCTCTATCCGAGCGTGATCATTTTAGCCATCAAATAACCATTAAACAGTAGACCATTATCCTGCTTGATGAGGGGAAAAATCTCCATAAAGGATCCCGACTGGCAGAGACCGCAGGCGATCGAGAGGATCGCGACATAAATTATCACTTTGGGTCTTCAATTCAACAAAGTTGGTTATGGCTATAAATACACTTGAGGAAATTTCTTGGGAATTTTTAATAATATTCAGTGATTCTAGGAATATTACAGAGGTGGTAGATGTTGAATTATAAAAGTTTGTTACAGAAATAAATAGGTTTAAGAGGGGTTTCAAGGTATTTTGAAGACTTCAAACTGTTAGACGATGTTTTGTAGGCCTTAAAATAATAATGGCAATATAATAAATATATATAATATATTATTTTATATATAATTATTCCATTTTGGTTTATTTAAAATGCCCTTAAGATACCAAGGCTTCCTATGTATGCTCTCACAATTTTCTTTATATGTATAATGTACATATATTTATTTAAATATTCATAAAATTTATACATTTTCCCCGAGTGTCGTATTCTATTCTTCGCGTTTTGGGTTCCTTCTCTTTTTTCTGTCCGATTTGAGCTGACAGTTTTATTGTGTCGCCTTTTTTCTTGAATTAATTGAGCCGCCCCTTTGGGTTCCAAATGAAGTCGTTGTTGTGGTTGTCGCGTTTCCAAGGAATGTCGTGAGGACGGATGAGTTCCCTGCCAGCACCAGCATCCTCATCTCATCCTCATCTCTGGAGAGACGTAACCCCCGAGGACAGAGATGCCTCAGAGATGTGAGGAGAAGACCACACATTGCGATAGAGATACACGCAAGTTCTCTGATGAACCCCTAAAAAAGAGGAAAAATACTAAAGGCATTCCCTAACAAATTGCTTATTTTCTATTTATTCGGCCTGCGGGCGATCCGTTGCCAATTAATTATAATTGATTAGCGATATTAACGAAAATTATGATGATGATTACGATTATTCGCTGGAATTGCACCCGCAGATACGTGGATATATTATATTGACAAAAGATATTTCTCGACTCGCCAACGAAGGCTGAAAACTAATCGGTTTTTCTGATATGATAAACGACTTAATTGCGGCTTTCAGCGCGCGCCATGGGGCAATTTCAAATTATTAAATATTTGACATGTTTGATTGGTAAATATTTTAATCGGCTTAAAGGTGAACATTTATACACAAACATAGCTTAAATTTGAATGTGGGGAAATGCATTAAAGAAATAATATTTTGAGGCGTTTATTGTACTTATATTTCTTATTTTATACACTTTTTATGAGAGGTTACTTATTTTTAATACAAATGTACAACATACTTTTTAAACACAGATTTTCATTAATGGTCTTTTTAAACTTACCGACTTCAAATATTTATTTTTGCAACACTTGTTTCCAATACGAATTTCCCAAGACTATTTGTTAAGCTTATATTTCGAGTCAATTTCCAAACCCCCTAATTAGAAAAGGTCACACAACTTCCAATAACTTTCTCAGAGCCAATTTTTGTAATCAAAGTGACCTTAGCTTTCCTCCAGAGACTGTCACAATTTTGTAAAAACAATTTTCACTTCACAGTCTCCAAGCAAATAGTCAAAAAATAGTTAATAATTTTACCATGGGTCGTACTCGTTCGGATAGGGATCGTACTCGGGGTGAGCCAACGTCGCCTCGCCATCGTCCTACGCGCTCCAATGCAATCTATCTGATCAAGACTCGTCTGGAGCGTCGTCCGGGACGTCCTCGTTCATCGTGGGACATTCCACCGACGGGCTACTCCCATCTCACTCCGATCCAGTACAAGGCGATGCAGGCCAGTGGCCAGATAGCTTCTCGGATACTGCCAGAGGCACAGCCCTCGGGGGAGTCGGCCGCGATTGCAATGGTCACCCGGCAGGCGCGTCGCCTGTATGTGGGCAACATACCTTTTGGCATCACCGAGGAGGACATGATGGATTTCTTCAATCAGCAGCTCAAGGCCCTGGGATTGAACAAGCACAATGGTGATGGCAATGCGGTGCTCACTTGCCAGACCAATTTGGAGAAGAACTTTGCCTTCCTCGAGTTCCGGTCGATGGATGAGGCCACTCAGGCCATCAATTTCGATGGCATCAATTTTCGTGGACAGAATCTGAAGATCCGTCGGCCCCATGACTATCACCCGGTGGCCTCCATCAGCTGCGCTGAGGAGTACAACAAGCCCCTGGCCACCACCACAGCTGCCTATCCACCGATAGAGGTCACTTCCTTGTCAAATAGTACCATCTCGAGCTCTGTGCCGGATTCAGCTAACAAGATCTACATTGGGGGCCTGCCCTCGTGCCTGGGAGAGCCACAGATTAAGGAGTTGCTGCTGTCCTTTGGCCAGCTGCGTGGCTTTAATTTGATCAAGGATTCGGTGTCGAATTTGAGCAAGGGTTTCGCCTTCTTCGAGTATGTCGACCCGGCGGTCACGGACCAGGCCATTGCCGGATTGAATGGCATGCAGCTGGGGGAACGCAAGCTGGTGGTTCAGCGTTCGATTGCGGGTGGCAAAATTATGGCCAATCCACCGGTGCCTGTCCTTCAGGTGCCGGGGCTAAGTGCCTCTGTCCTTACCACGGGTACACCCACCGAGGTTCTCTGTCTGCTTAACATGGTGCTGCCCGAGGAGTTGCTGGATGATGAGGAGTATCAGGACATCCGTACGGATATTCAGCTGGAGTGTGCCAAGTATGGTGAGGTGTGCAGCCTCAAGATTCCACGTCCCATCGGGAAATCGCACTCGCCACAAGGCTGTGGCAAGGTCTACGTTCAGTTCGAATGCGTTGAGGATTGCCAGAAGGCTTTGAAGGCACTCACGGGACGCAAGTTTAGTGGACGCATCGTTATGACCTCCTACTACGATCCCGAAAAGTATCATGGCAATCATTTGCAATAAATAATTAATAGTAATCATAATGTATATAGAAAGCATCTTCTTGCTGTGACCTTGGCGTTGAACGATTAATATGCCAGAATATAATCCTTGGCTGTATCCTCCTCCTTCGCTCTTGTTATTGTTTTATCTCTGTTGTGATATCATCTGCTTAATGCCAAAGAAATCGCTTTAAGTTATCTAGAACTGGGATGCCAAGACACGCCTCCGTTGGGCTCTGTTTTTTCCTTCAAAAAGGGTGCCCGGTATTCAATTAGGCAAACCGACTTAAGCTGCAATCCTTAAAGCTGCTCAAAAGCTGACACCTCCTTCGGCAGGTCCAAGACCAAGTCCTCCTCCTCCTCATCATTGTGGGATTCGTTCTCCTTCTCCTCTCTTTTTTGCTTAATTAAAATTTTAAACTTTACGCTTTATCACCGGCATTTCTCAAGCATATTCACACCTTCTTGGCTACCTTTTGCCTTCTGCTTATTTTGGAGCTGGGCTCACCGGGTAATGCCTTAATGCCCTTTCAATGGAGAAGCTTCTTCGACGGCTTCTCCGGCTCCTCAGGCTTCTTATCTCGCCGAACGACCAACGGTTGCATTTTCTCAGGTTTCACATCTCTCGATGAAGGCTGAGAGCATCCGCTTTGGGTATTTTCTTATCTCAGGATTTTGGTCATTCGCTCGACAGCCGATCATCAATACTCGAACGCTTAATGAAATGCTTAATGCACTGTCAAAAAGCAGGGAGTTTTCTTAAATTGAAATCTCTACAAAATAAGGCTATTATTTTCCACTTTGAATTGCCTTTTTAAGGTTTAAAAAAGAACTTAAGGAACCTAAAAGTTAATTTTTTGGAATTAATATTGATTTGAAAATGGAACTTGCTTGAAATTGTGTTATTTTAGATTAGATCAGAAAAATGAAGATATCAACAATCCCGTCTTGGGCAAGCCTGATTTACACATTATTTGATTAAAATACTTGTATAGTTAGGAGGGTTGTTATGATGGACTATTAGTTCGGTCTTCAGGCATATTTGTTATACAATAATATGTATAAAAATACTTTAAAGTTATCTAAAACATTTTTTTGAAGTGCATTCGTAAGAGCATTGAAAGCCCAACTCTTACTGAGTCTGAACGATTTATCAGTGGCAACCACGTCCACAAACTAAACGCTTTATCGAAACTGTGGAGATTGTGTGTCTGTGCCAGGAGAATCGAGGCAGAACCTGGAGTAGAGTGGACACAAATTAATTCAACGCCTTGGATCTTTGTCATTTGCCGGAGAGAGGAGTATTTACTGGGTGTATCTTCGATTTGAAGGCCAGCTCTTTCATTCCCATTGCTCCCAAACTTCTTTCGAAGCCGCTGCCTTGCTGTCCCATGAAAATCAATGCCTCGATGGGTAATTAATAAACGCCCATAAAGATGCGGATACAATAAAAATTCCAAAACCTGGCTCGAAAAAAAAGGGTTCCTCTTTGATATTGTAGCTACGTTGATTTTATGATCTGGCAGCTGCGCGCTTTGGGGATTAACTGGATTGACTTCTAATCTCTTCTGCCCCCCGAATCTTGTCAAGCGACTTGACTCTCCTCCTCCTACTCCTTTGATTGTGTCCGAGGTTAGGGTCGTCTTCTGGGATGTTAGGTAATCGGGGGAAATGAAGCAATCAAAGCCACAGTTGAGTGAACCCTCTCAATCGGGTTTTTGTATGCATCTTTAATTGCATTCTCATCTCGTTTCATTTGAATATGATGTAGTAGATAATTATTGGGCTCCTGCCAGAGCAACGCCTCCTTCACTGGCTTTTCCGAAGGAGGAGAAAAACTATTGTTAAACGATAGCCCTTTTTTCTGTTCCTAGATGATGGCTCCATTTGGTAGCCAGAAGCTTGTTTTTCTTCTGTTTTTTTATGGCATCCATCGCTTGATTTGTGTATCTCGTGTTATCCAGCTTAATTAGTTGAAAGAATCTCTGAGGTGTTCCCCTAATGATAGTTTAGGGGGACAAGCACTGCATAAATTTGCCAAAGATACGGAGATATATTTATCAGTTGAAAGGTTCCAATAAAAATTTGTTCGCTCTAATGATCAAGATAGACATCATCATGCGTGTGTACAATTAGTAGAGATTTAATTAAGATTAAGAGTAGAGAGCAATGCTTAATGAAGTAGCCTGCAAAATCATCCACAGTTAATCTTTTGAATATTAAAAAATCAGAAACCAGAAGAACAAGAGTAAAGTTCACAAAACTTTTACCCTTTTGAATTCAATTAACCAGAACCTGTTGCTTTGTTTGGTTTTAATCCCGCATTTCAATTCACATTTCCGGGATGCTCCCCCGAATAAAATCAAAATAAAAATGAAAATAAAACGCCAACACAACAAAACATGCAAAATAAAATCAAATAAACAAATATTGTTGTGCAGTTCAAGCGAATTTGTAATTTCCCCTTCATAGTCAACAACAAAAGGCTAAAAAACAAATTACCAGCGAGAATAATTTCACCGAAATTTCTGCTCAAGGGGGTTGGTTTGGATCTCCCGGATATCGTGGGTGGGTGGTGATGGTAGTACCATTCCCATACCCATTCCTGGCTGTCATTGCCATTCCTGGCTGCCACTCCCCCAAACCATGTTCCACGTCGCTTCGTTAATGGCAGCGCAATTAATTCGAGCAAATCGTCTGTGAACCCTTTTTATGACCTCTAAGAACCCCGGTTCACACCGCGTCTCTCCTTTCTCAGATAAAAATTCATTAAACGACATCATTGGAGAGCTTTGTTTCGCTTTGAACTGTTTGCTGGGCGATAATAAATGCGGAATAGGAACGAGTGCTCTTTAAATGATTTTTTTGTTGAATTGTTTTCTCTTCCCCTCCTTTTTTTTTGTTGGTCGAAATTTTGTTTGCCTAAACTGTTGAATGAGCTACAATGGATGAGTGAGTTTGGGATATTTTTTATTTGGATTTTCTAAATTAAGAAGGGTTTATTGTGGTAGAAATTTCAAGCTAGCTGAAGACCTTTCTGATGAGCCTGTTACATTTGTTTTAAATATTTTCTTTGGTCTTAAATTACAACATATTTTGACAGAGATTTTGTATAGATTTTAGCGAGTTATCAATCTTATACCTGAAGAGGTTTCTGAGTTAGTATATCTTTGATTAATATATAAGATGATAGAGCAAGTATAGGTAGTAAAAGGTATCCTTCTAGATGTTTTCAATGCTCATAAAGTTTCCGAGTTTAATAAATTCCATATCCAATACATTCTTTATTTTTATTCCCGTAAACTGCTTTCAATGTAATAAATCTTTCCCTTTAAAGATTCTTCTGAACCAGATCCCCTCCGAATAATACCATTAGCTGGCTATTCAAGTACATTGTTACACGATTGTTCCGCTGATCTATTACCGCCGGCTCAAGCACCATTTGTCTCGCTGAACTCTTTTACACAATTTCAGAATCTGAAATCAGAAACTCGAATATCCAAGTTCGAAGAACCCATTTGGTGGGCACCCTACAGCGCCGAAAAAGTGGGAAAAACAAAAAAGGGAAAAGCGGGTGTCTGCCACTGAATGGGTTTTTCCAGAGAACAACGCGAAATAACCGGCGAGCCGAGAGAACGCCTTTAATGAGGGTCATAAAATCAAGCGCCAGCACAGGCCAGGTCTCAAAAAAATAAAGAGAAATAAAGAACAAAAAGAGCAGGGACACAGACGGATAAACCGAAACTAAAGCAACCTGAGACGGTGTAACAGGTGAGGAGATAGCAATGAAATTATAATGCAGATTATGTGAACGAACAGAGAGAGGGAAGGAAGGCCCTTAAAGGACACCTAAGTGACCGAAAAAAAGCTGACGATTTAAAGGAAGCAAAACCATTTCGTACCACTTAACCGTTTTCCCTCTCAACCATTTAGGCTTTGATATTTTGCCGCCGAAAACCTCAGAACCTTTTAAATCGTTTGTTTGGGAATTACTGGCACTGCCTGGATTCTCATTCTATTCTGTGTTGTCGGTTTTCCAATGCAAATGCGTGTCAACTTTGACCCCCAGTGAGGCCGAAACGCATAATCCGGGAGAACAGGCAGCGAAACAATGGAAAACACATTTTAAGCTGCTCGAAATGCTCGAAATACTCGACTTTTTTGACTCGTCTCTTTTCCCGAACTCTTGTCCCGCTCTGTGGCATAATACAAACTATATGTCCGACTTAATTTTGTTGTTCAAACTGTCCTGTCTCGGGGGAGTCGCTTCTGGTGGCACTAAGAGAAATTCTAGGGTTGTTTCTTATACGCATTACAATATATATATACTATATTTACTACAAATATAGAGGAAAATGTTATGTATTTTTCTATACGCTTGTAGGATATAATAATTTGAATCAGAAGCATAAAACTCTGTGAATGAGTCGTTTCCGACCCTATAAATCATACACATTGTTGATGAGCATTAACAGCCGAGTCTATCTAGCCATCTCCGGTTGAAAAAAAAAAAATAATAATTTTTTTTTTTTTTTAATTTTATAAGGGGTTACAAAAGGGGGTTTTCAAAAATTAACCAAATTTTTAGATTTATTAAATGTTAAATTGAGTATGTAGATTTATACACCTAATAAAAACTAACATAGAAACGCTTTCAGAATTTAAATTGATGCAATTTTTGGCTTATTTATAAGATTTTAAAATTTGATTCATAAAAAAAATTGACACATAAAAATATAGACTCAAAATGGTATTATAATTTTAGTTAGAAGCTTCAAACACCATGAAAGAGTCATTTCCAACCCCATAAACCATATGTATTCTTGATCAGCATTAACAGGAGAGTCAATCTAGCTATGTCTGGTCAAAATCTATTTTTTTTTTTTTTTTATCAAATTTTCAAAATTTTATAAGGGGTTTTGTAAGGGATTGTTAAAGTTGCCAAAAAAAAAATTCGAAAAAAATGGAATCTCTTTAAATGTTGAACTGAGTATGCAGATTTATTAACCTGATAAAATCTAACACAGGAACGCTTTCCGATTGAAAATTAATGCATTTTTGACTGAGCTATGATGGATTTTCTATTAAAGGGTAAACAAATTTCGGTTCCCCCGCTTAAGCTTCCTTTCTATTTAAATTTCTAATTATTAAAGACAAATTATGCCTATCAAAACTTCCCTTGCTTTGCCATTATGGTAATTGATATTATTTTAACCTTTTGCACTTTGGTCGCTTCAATACACCAATAATTTCCTATTAATAAGATACTTATCGTGTGTCAACCCAACATCGTTGTGCATATTATTATATATATTATACAACTGGAGTATGAGATTATTTACCATTCCCTGGCACCTGTCATATTTCCTTGATGACCAATACAACTGCTGAGAATGCGTTGATTCCACGATGAAGGTATTTATTTATATATGTAAGTGCAGAAGATTACATATCATACATATGTATGTACCTGTTTACCAGTACTGTCCGTGTCCCTGTCCGTGTCAGCACAGTTCACTGGTTCAGTGACCTTTGGCCCGGGGTCTATTCAGGGCTTCCTTGGCCCTTCTGTTTTTTTTTTTATTTATTTCTTTTTTTTGCTGTGTAATGCTGCTCAGGAACTTGGGAGATCCCGCCCACTGATGAATGCCTGCTCTGGAGGAGAGTTTACGGGTTTCTCATCTTCATTATTCCGCCGGCTAGCATTTGTCCTGGCATTTGTTTGGATGCTGATGCTGGTGCAGTGCCACGCCCCCACTGCGCCTGTCAGCCCAGCATCCAAGCATCCCAGCATCCCGGCATCCCGGCATCACAGCACAATTCAACTTCAACTTTTGATACTCATCTGAATTTGCATTATTTTCTTTTGCCGCTGTTTACGTTGATTCTGATTTTAATCTTTCAACTGCGTTTGGGCCCTACTGCTCCTCTCTTTGCTTTACTTTTCCTCTGCTTTATTTAGTTTGAAATATTTTTTGCCTCGTCCGATTTACAGTTGATATGTACCTGTCCTCGTCCAGAGTTTGAGATGGTATCGTGACACGCATGACATGTCACAAGAAGCACGAAAGTTACGAAAGTATTTTGAAGTTTGCCTTAACTTGTGGGATTTTAAGAGATTGCTGTAGGTCTTTTTAAGTTGTTTACTTACAGTTTTGTTGTTTACTAATTTTGATAGATTTTTAATACTTAAAATTTAATTTGAATGATTATTAATTCTTTTATCTTATTAAATATAAAGTAATTTCTTCAAATATATTATTTTTGAGGGTATTTTGGGGGCAACATTAATAAATAAATTAAGAATAGCTATATCTTAAGCTCCAAGAAGTCGAAATAAATAAGATTCTAATACAAATATCTATAATGTATCAATTAAATTTTCAACCTAAATATATAATTCGAGCAAACCCAAGACCCCTAAAGGACTCCCATCCCTTTGTCCAGCTGAACAGGTTTCACCTTCTTTTGTTTGTCGCGACTCCTCTGCAGTTTTCAACGCACCTTGCTCCGCCTTTTTTCCCTGCTTTTTCACTGCTTCTTCACTGCAGTCATTCATTCCATTCGAATAAAATAGGAGTTGGGGCAGGGAAAAGTATCCTAATTGGTATTAAAATTGATGTTATTTTACTTTTATTTTATTTTATTTATTTTTTTGTTTACCATCCATTCCAGGGCATTGTATTTCGATGCCTTGAAAGCTAGAATGGCACCGCATTTGTCTTGATTTTTATTCAAATTGGATTTTTCAAAAACAAAAGGCGTATCGCGGGATTCGTAATATGAGAAAAATCGTACCACTTTGGGCAAAATGCATTTTTCAGATTGCATCGCAGCGCCGATCGATGATATTCGAGATTAAAATCAGAAAAATAAACAGAGAAAGGCTTCTGTTCTTGTCGTCCCATCAGATATAAATGTATATATATATATATATATGGATAACCTTTGCATTCTCTTGTATTTCTTTTCCCTGTTTTTATCATTTAATTTCTTGTTTTTTGTTACCTGAATTTTTATCTGTTGTTTGGCTCTCGGATTTAATGGGGAATTATGGTGGGGAGAAATGGGAAACGTTCTGTAGGATTAAATTTAAATGTGGCCACTTACACGTAATTAAGTTCGTTGCACTTTATTTACACAAACATTCTGTCCAAGCCTATAGACGTTTACCGGGCGATATGCAAAATAATTAAGCTGCCAATAAAATTGCATTAAAGGTGCAAAGAATTCGCACTGGAGATAATTATGGAAAGCGGTTTAAAAAGCCTTTAAAATGTCGTGAATTCGCAGTGGAAAGTGTATGTCGTAGGTCAGTTCCAATAAGGTTTTTCTGGTTAACAGAGCTCCGAAAACGGATTTCACTTCCCCTTGTTACTCCGAAAGATAAGGTTTGGGAACTATGTTAACAGCTTATAGTTGTTGTTTATTAAAGAACTATTTTCGCAATTGTTTTGCTTTATATTTTAATAAAACAAAAAACTTAAATCTAAAATTACAATATGATAATGTTCCTTCCTATATTGGTTTTCTTATATTAATCTTAATAGATGTTAAACTTCAACCGAATATTTCCCCTTACTGTTAACCTTAGCAGCGCAATGGCTTCCACAAACTTATTTCGGAGACCTTTTCTTATTCTCAGCTGTTAACATAACTCTTAACATAAGAGAGAGCTCTTTTCCAACTGAGAGTGTTTGTGGATTGTGTGGAACTCTTTTAAAATGTATAAAAGTGACATACATTTTAAAAGAGTTCCACACAATTCCACACAATGCACAAATATGTAAGCCACAGGCTCTTCGATGTTTAATTTGTTGATTAAATTAATGTTACATTTATTAACTAAAATGTATCAGTTTTTAGGGAATAATATAAAATTGAAGTTAATAAAAAAATTATTGTCAGCTAAAAACTGAAATATATTTTATTTAATTTTAATTTTCTTGCATTTTTTAACCTAATTCCTACAACTAAAAAGATAAATAACTTGAAACTTGTTACGGGAGTTTTATAATTAGTATAATTAATTTGTTTCACTCGATAAAGTTATTCACTTATTCCCATTCCTTTTATATATAAAAAAAAATAAAATCATTTAACAAATGTTTGTTTACATTCTTATAACATAAAATCACCATTTGAGCCAACATTAACAGATGTTCCACACATGACAGAGAGAGGGAGAGTAACAGAAGATGGAATCGCACAGAGAGAGTAACAGAATTTCGCTAATGGGAATCGTACAGAGAGGGAGAGAGAGTAACAGAAGTATCTTATGGATTGCAACGACTCAACAGAGTAAATTGTACTACAAGATACTCAGAGTTTAGTGTTGCCGGGAATTTCAAAAGTTGTGGTCATCGGAAAAGCGGAGCGCGCGTTTCGTGTCGCCTTTACATAAAATATAGTGTTTCAATCGAAGCGTGTGGCGTGCGGCGTTGATTTAGTGGAATAAATTATAATTAAAAGAGCCCATAAAAATATCTATAAAAATTTGCAGAAATAAAATAAAACAAAATAGTGAGAAATATAAAGTTATGAGATAGATCCTTCGTTCGTTCGTGCTTCGTTCCGTCGTCGCGATTTGAGGCAACTTCGTGTGAGAAACTCTAAGCGAGAAATCAAGCTTTTATGACAGCCTACAAAAAAATCTAGATAAAGTTCACAAATTCTAGAAATAATACAAAATAATTACAAAGTTGCAAGATTATAAATTAAATTAAATTTAAAGCTTTGGTGAAATGTTGCTGCTGCAACGGCCACAATTTGTTGTGGCTCAGTGTTGTCCCTGTGTTGTTGCCCATAAAATAAGCCACTAACTCGGTGCTCGGGATGCGGAATGATGCCCCACGGATTACACAAAAGGATTAAATAACAAAGTAATTTGCATATCTAGAAAATAAATTTAGAATCATGACAACGAACTAGGCATTAAATTATGCATGAATATTAACCTGAACCCCCAAGGATCTACTCGGCCAGCGGATGTCCGTTCATGTCCATGTTGCGACTCAATGAAATTTTTAATTGTGCACGCGTGTCCCAAACCCCCTTTCCTTGATAATTTTACCTGGGACTGGGACTAGGCCTGGTCCTTCGTGCCCTGATGGCCCCGCCCCCTCTATAGAGGGTACCTTGTGTGTAGTTTCATGTTTCCCGCATATTTGTCATGGTGCGAAATCTCAGGGAAGGGGCTAAGGATACGAAGGAATCCCTCCACCTTTTTGGAACTGGAATAAAAGTGCAACTCCAAAGCCGCACCAGACTTCAGGATAGTTGTGCAAGTTCCTCAAGGAATATTCTACGAGTTTTTAAGGCGTTTTAGAAAAAGGCTCAAGAGAAAAGTATTTCAGAAGTTTTTAACCTAGTTTGGGGTGAAGGAAAGCCATGGGAAATGTGATGAAAGTGTGAAAAACTAGCAAAATTTCAAGTAATTCATATGAATCTTATATGTAATAATTAAAATGGGGATTAAATTTAATAACCAGTAAATTTATTTAAATTCGGAAGCATATTTGCTTTTATATAATTTATATCTGTGTTTTCATAAGAGTTTCATATTATAAAAATATGCTTCCCCTTTTAAATATTTCAACTAATCCTATTTAAAACTCCCCCAACAAAGCAAAACACAAAAAAATGTATTCATTCAACTATAAAAACTCAAATCCTTTGTAGATTAACTCCCTCTCTCCACCAAACTGGTGATTTTTGCCGGTCTTTCGCTTGGCTAACTTTATTAACCAGCAAGTGGAATTTTTAGCTTCCGTTCCGCCCTTAAGCTCTCCCCTAGTGCTCTTGGCCAGAAATCTCAGCTTATTTTCAATTATCATGTCATCTCAGGGGGCAAGGGGAAGTAGCCACCCCAACAGCTTTTCCGCTTTTCATCCCCCTTTCCTTGCCAGTGTGTGCGCTGCACTTGAACTACATGTTGGTAATTCGGAAAAGTCGCTTGAAAAGAAAGCAAGGACCAGGAGGAAATTTACTATCGCCACCAATGCCAATTGAAGCACACTTGTCCACGCTCCCTGACTTCCGTCCAGAGCTTGCCCCGCCCCAGTTTTCCCAGACCCCTGGCCCAGTTGCTTTTCCATTTCCCGTGCTCCTTCGACCCCACTTTCTCTCTCTCCCTCTTACCACTCGTTATGTGCTTTTTTTTGTTGCGGTCAGTTGAGGCCGCGTGCCGAGTTTCCATTGTATGTGAGATTTTCGTGTTTTCATTTTTTGGTTTTCCTAGGGTATTTCTAGGGGTTAGAGGACGAAAGATATATTGGCTATGGAAAAATATGTCAAATAGCAGCAATACTTATATTTAAAGACCTTTAAAACAATGAAATACATTATATTGAAACTGATTATTAGCTTTTAGAGTGGGAATAATATAAAAGGGTTACAAGAGTGAAATGTTTAATAGGTTATAATCTTATTTAACATGATTTATTTACATTTTTATGTTTTTTATGATTATAATATTCTATATCTACTATCATATCTCCCAATCCAATAACATTACAGAAAAACTATTAGACTAGATTATTTACAATCTTCTTATATGCTCACATACCAAATTTGGTAAGAATCTATAGAGAGGTTTTCGAGATATTTTCTTTGTTCATAGGTAACTCATAGTCGTTGAACTTTCTTTCTTGATTTTTTCATGTTGTTTGAAAAGAACATATAGTCGCCGCGATTCCTGCGTGTGTAACAGAGAGTCAAAGAACAGCAACAAATACAAATAAAAAAAAAAACAGTGGCAAAGAGCAAAAGGAGCAGGAGAAAGTGGAGAAGGAGGAGGAAGGTGAAGGAGCAAAGGACGCCACCAAAAGTTGACCTCGCGTCGCCTGCAGCGTTAATTTATAATTTACTCTCGGCTCACTGAAATCGCCTAGCACCCCGCACGCCCATCCCCCTTTTCACTCTTGGGGGAATTCCCCGCTCCCGTTTTTATTATTATTATTATTTCGGTGCGTTTCCACGCGCTTTTCCTTGCCCAACAGAACCACAGCACAACAACAAAAAAAGGTCCCTCTACCAAGGCTCGTTTTTTCGCCACTTTTGACTTTTTTACATTTGCCGACGGGTCTGAATGTTGCTTCTCCCCTTGTTGGTGTAGTTGTTGTTGTACTTGTTGGTGTATTCATTCCTGTTCATGTTGTTGTTGCGGTGTCCCTTGAATATACTCGCAAACAAGGAGGAAAAAAAAACAAGGAGGGATTGGAATTTCAAGCCAAAAACCTGCTACCAAAAATTCAAGCTCTTCCCTTTTTCCCTTGCTCATACTTTTTGGCCTTTTTCAACTACTCATTGTTGTTGTTTGCTCCTGTTTTAGTGCCTTAATTTCGCTGTGTGTATGTGGGTGTTTTGAGGTTTTTTATTTTTATTTTGTGCCCCTCTTTGTTTTTAAAACATTTTTGACTTTTGGCCCCGCGACGACTGTTGCTCGTCGCGCTGTCTGCTGCTGCCCTCGTTTGTTTGTTGTTTTAATTAATTTGTAAATTTACTCGACCAGATTAAAGCAAAAGAGAAGCAAATTAGCCAAGGGACAACTCCAACAATGCAGATGGACGGCAGATGTCAACAGGACTCAGGGAGGGAGAGCAGCATTTCGTGAGGCGAAAGTGAAATATGGAGAAAAAAAACAAAAACTTTCCACAAGAAAATTTGTTTATTTTTTTGGCAGAATGAAACCACTTAAGATTCAGCTAAGTTGTTGAGGAGGTTTTAAGTGTTGGGGTAATTAGAAAATCTGTTGGAAATTAAATAGTTGGAATAAAAAGAAATGAAGGAAAATGCAGGAGGGCAAAGCTCATAAACATTATGAAGAAATTAAGGTATAAGTTAACAGAAATCAAAGAGATCTAATTAAGCTAACAAAACACAACATATAATAAAAAATAATCATTTAAAATCATATTACCCTTATTACTATGAAATATTCAAATTAGTTTCTTTGTTACCTTATTAAAACTACGGAATTATGAAAACAATTTAATAAACAAATTTAAATAATGCACAAAACAAAATAAATAACCAAAATAAATGCTTCACAAAACCATAAATCATGACAAAAGAATAATCTACAATGTTGAAATTGATTTTTATGGCCTGGTAAACACTAATTGCTGTTTCTAAATTATTATGAAAAATCCAAATCTAAAATCTATTTATTAAATTAAATGTTCTTTTGCTGCAAATGGTTTGAAAAATCAATTAGAGGCAGACACAGACATAGAAACACACCTGCGCAACTGCGGCTGAATCAACATTTGCAATTCAAAACCTCATTCTTTATAGTGTCTTCCACATTTTGTTTACCTAATATTTATGTGTCTGTGTTATGGTGAAATCTATCAAATTTCCAGGGGAATGCCCCTAGAATATGTATATATCCAAACAATGTCTCCAAGTTTGCCAATAATAACAATAACTCAATTTCCTTCGAGCGAAGAAGTCATCACAATTCTGTGGAAAATTCAAGAGGGAAACTCATTCGCCTCGAGGCAATTTAATTGCTACACTTTGACAAGTTAGAACAAAGGCTGGCGCTTAAATTATACACAGTACAAATATATACGCAAAAAATTGTATTTACAGCTGTGCGTTGCTTAAAGTATTTAACTTGAGTTTAACCGCAATGGCAAAACTTTGTCTGGCTCTGTTCTGAGTCCTTTTTTCTCCGGCTATATTGACACATTTGTTTTGGTGGAAAAACGGGAAAATAAAAGCAGAGAGTAAATTCCTTGCGGTGTCTGGGAGCTAAAAACGAATTTCAAATTAAATAAACAACAAGAAAAAAAAAACTCCCAAATGTGCAATTAAAAAATTTTACAGTCATAACTTTTTATTATGGAATATAATTCAGGCTTTTTATGCACACCAAAGCGAGCGAGGCAAGGAGCTGGGGCAAGTAGCTCCATTGCGCGTGTTTAATTTCGTTTCTCGTCCTGTTTTTCCAATAAATTTTCTTCCCTTTTGCACGCAATTTCCCCACTTTCCCTGCTTGATGGGGGCTGATGAGACTCCTCTTTTTTTCTCGGTATATATAATTGCATTAACCGACCTGCCACGACTTTTATGTGTCTGTTTTTCATAATTTTTTTTATTTTTTTGTTGGGTGGCCAAATAATGTTTACTTCTCACATTTTGGTAGTTTTCGTTTCAGTTCCTAAGTTTAGATTTTTATCGCGACACGAGGCGGTCGGTCTCCTTTCAAAAATATATATAATTTTTTATTGCACCTAAATGTTCGACACGTGGATACTCGAGCATAGAGTTTTTCGTTTTTTAGATGCATTTTAATTGGAGTTTTGCTCAAGACTTTTTATGACAGTTTATAGTTAAAAGCAAAGATTATTTCGTGTGGATTAAAAATACTAAAAAATAAGCAAGAACAAAGGGGTTTTGGTAATTGGTCGAAAGATCTTAAATTACCATCTGGTAATTACGTTTATATGTGCAATAGGTTAACGTGTATTTATTTAATCGGTTTACGGTTTTAGGAAGGAACTTGAATTATTTTGCGTGTTGTTATGTTTATATAAAGTTCCATAAAATACAATTATTAATATAATAGTTTTTAGTTTAGAAAGGTCTTAGAAAGTTGTTTAAAATTCATTCATTTGGTAATATTAAGCTGAAAAGTGCCTTAAAACTTGGTTAAAATCTTTATATAATTGTACATCAATTTTATAAAGTAGAACATGTTTCTCTAGAACCCAAAGCCAAGTCAGATTTATTTCTAACATTCTGAGTGTCCTCTTCAGCATTCTATCATAACATTTTTGATAACAACTAAAAGTTTAATGTTAATTCCAAAAAATCCCTGCCTAAAAGCCCTAGCAAACCCATCTTATATTACAAAATCCATAAAGTAAAACCT